ATCAGTTAAAAATTAATTACCTGGGTTAATATAAGTCGGAAACGGAAACAAATTTCCACTTTTGTCTGTTCGCGTGCTTGCAAGTGTACACGATAACATCGTAGCGTTTTAACATTTTGACGTGGAACAGAAGTCAAGACAGGGAAATTTGCGATAGGACCCTGATAGAATATGAAATCTCCCGACGAAATAAAATTCATTAAGGTGCATGCAAGTATTTCAAAAAGAATGGTGCACGATTTCACGGGTTTATTTTTCATCGCAATATTGAAGTGGAAAACATTTTCGTTGTTTTGAATATTCATGTTTTTGATTAGGTAACACGTAAACTACAGGGTGTCCTAAAATTTCGTGTTGCCAAAGTTTCCTAAGATTTGATTAAACTTATCTCTATTCTAAGTTGCTTTGTTTAGTCGTTAGAAGGCATCGGTATTAATAAAAAATCAGTTTTTTTGAAGGGCTTTTGCAAGATTTATTGAAATTTGGTACACGAATACTTCCATATAAATGTCACATTATGATATGAATTATAAATGAAGTAATGATAATAACACAACTGTGAAAAATACTTTTTTTTTTGCTTTAAAGATGGTTTGTTAAAAATGTTTCCTTCTGGTAAAACTGTATCTGTAATAATTTGGGGTCAAATCATTTCATTTGTCATTATTCAATTCAAACTTGACTTAATAACGTCATTTCAAAAGTAATTTATTAGATAACAAAAACAAAACAACTTACGACCACCGTTTTCTGTAATAATAAATTAATTCTAAGTGAAAAACTAAATTATACTGTTTTCGATATTCCTTAATTTTGCAAATTGTGTTTAGCATCTTCAATCCTGTTCCACAGTTGTTTTTCAATACCCACATTACACCTTTTGTTTTAAAGCATCAAGAAAATCAAAGAGATTTATGTCAGGTGTACTTGGTGGCGAGTGTCCCTTGCCTATCCATTTACCTGGGTGCTGATCATTTAAATGTTCTCTTATATTGCGACTGAAGTGCGGTGGTGTTCCTTCATGCATAAAATACATGTGATTTTCTTAATACTTATTCTGGAGATTTATTATCTCACGATTCGCAAAACAAAATTCATCCATGAAAAGGATTTTCTGTGGAGGTTGGCGAATGGGCGAACAATCTTACGAAAATTGAAGACCAGCGGAAGGAGCAAGAGGTAGGTGTTGAACTAGGCCAACATGAAAAAAATGAATTAGTTGTTCGAAGATTACTCTGTTCACTGTAATTTTGGAAACTATATTCTGCCTCTGTGTTAATCTGACACTAGTTTTCCACCATTTCCAGAATGTTTTCGTCCACAATGGATGATTGAACTTGATGTGAACGTTCGGCATTACCTCTGTTAGTTTTAAATTGACCAATTTCTCGAGGACGTCTTTCAATATTTGACTATTCAAATAACTTTCATGATTAGAATACGTTTCTGTTATCAAAAAATTACCTGTGAAATTACGCTAACTGCAAGTTTCAATCGAAAACCCATAATTATCTAATACAAATACAATACAATACAAAAACTTTCCAGGAACTCTTTAAAGTTTGGTTGCGTTATAAACAAGGTATAAAATTTTTTATTTGACATCGATAGTGTATACAAACAATTATTTTACTTGTACATAGATATATTTTTCAATTCCACGCGAGTTACCTACAAGATGTGTCAACAACAATCAAAATTCTATACAAAAGTATGTTTCCACACAGTCAAGTTATCAACTGCAGAACATTGGGAGTAACAGTCTGCGATATTGACGTAGAATTTCCTTAAATCCTGGGCTCGAATAAACATACATAACGTATTTCCTTGGGCGCCTTCTATAAGGGAGAGAATATTCGTACTCCTCGCTTGTCAGATAATACCTCATTGTAAAGAATAGATGAGAGTATATATTCGAGATGTTTGCGCGCTATTCAAGTGTGTTTTTATAAAGAAGCGTTACATAAAATATTCATACAAATTGGGAAACGTATCCACGCCGACAGACTCAAATGAAATATTTATGGCAATTCATTAACGAATATAAAAAAATAATTAGTGTTTCTTACAAGAACTTACAGAAACTCAGCTCAGACGTAAACGCGTCCAATTAAATTTAGCAAATATTTTACTTGAATGCCTTGAAAAGTAGTTTTATATTATTTGCACAAAGACCACCCAAAAATTGTCTATTAGAGAAAAAAACTTGTTTGTGTGCATCGAATTTTGTCAAATTATTATAGTAAGGGGCAATATGCGTTGCAATAGCGGAAACAGGCTAAATTTGGTCAAGCCATGTGCCGCTCTATGTTCATTATACGCAATACTACTGACTGCCACAAAAACACCTGCCATACACTGGACCAAGCAAAGCGTCAAACTTACTCATACACGCACAAACGACAATGAAATGCACGACGACCGTCACTGGTATGCTAGGCCAACATCAATATGCAATTCAGTTAGTATCTGGAGTTCGACCGTGTCGGAGTATTTTTTGCGTACCACTATTTCCTTTTTTGACGTGTTTCTCTTTGCTTTTTTTAAAAATTTACCATGTGTGAGTATCACGATATGTTATGAATTTATGGGGAGGCTCACCGCAATTCTGCTAGATCTCGACGCATTTACCGTCGACGTTTTCTCTTCATTTTTCTCGAAAATGGTACATGCTACCGAATTTCGACAAGTATACCTTTTTTTTGTAGTATGCTTTAGAGTTTACAGAACCGTTTAGAAATGTAATAAGTTTGACTTTTAACATTTTTTTTTCGATTATACTCCTCCAATTACCTGTATCGGCGACACTGCTTTTTAGAAAGAAACCGTTTGCACATTATTCTTAACGCATAGTTGATGATTACTCATGTTACAAATGTTGACATTTTTATCTTTAGCCGATTTAAAGATAATTAAAGAAAACCATTTGGAAAGTAACAACTTCAGCACACTGTATTTCGAAAACAGGGCGTCTAAGAAAAAAACTTTACATGAGCTACCCCTATTATTTTTCCATGAGGAACTTGCACACAAGTTTTTTTGAAACATGAACGGGACACCCTGTATATATATGATGTCAATTTGTAAATGGCATCCTCCTTTGACCTTCCTTCCCTAAAACCATACTGCCGATCTGATATTAGTTTATGTTTTTCTAAAAATTTTACAATTCTTTATTTTACTATTTTTTCTAAAATTTTTGCCACATTAGATATTAAAGAAACAGGTCTATAATTAACAACTTCCATTTTATATCCACCCTTATATAAACGCTTGATTACCCCAATTTTTAATGTGTCTGGAAAATAATCATCTTCAAAACATTTGTTTATTATAAAAGTTAGGGGAACAACTATTTTATCTGCAATTCCTTTTAACTGATTAATCACAGGCACACAAAAAAAATAATGTCAAGACCCAGTTAGTAAAGTAGTTAAATACATATGATTTTATATCTTCGTAGTTTACAAAGATTTTAAAGAAAAAATGGTCTAAGCAGGTTATATACTTTGAGGTCGAGTGTACCTACTAACAAAAGATTGATATCCACAGGAATTCATTATATCCTTGTATTCCTCAACAATCATACTATCACTAAGTATATCTATACTTATAACACCAGTAATTACATGTACATCGAATTTTGTAGTTTTATTTAAATAATTCATTAAGTTTATGTTAAAATTATGCGCACAACAATTTGGAGATATTGTTGCTCCATAATTTATTAAAATTTCCAGTCTGTCTCTTCAAACAATTAAATTTCCACAAATTCAGAAAAAATAAAAATCATATCATTAGAATAAGGAGATAAACCTATTGTTGTAAATTATAACTGGGGAAAGTTCCGTCGGCATTTTTCATCTACGAATTTCAAATTCATCAATGGAAAATGTGAATCTATTAAAATTTTAGTAAAACCTATCACTTTATGTCGCCTTGTTTTGGATTAACGTCAGACATAAAAAAATGCATGTCCTATTTAACAAACTCCGTATTTAATGTTCACTATTGCGACTATAAATCTGTACTTTTACGACATCAGCCGTTTCGCAGGGGTCAGGTCTCTGAGCACGCTTGTTTTATGTATTAATGATGTGTGCAAGGAAATCCGATTAAAAGCTTTATTACAGGTTGATGACTTGAAGTTATATGAATCTATTTACTCGGTCTAAGACTGCTACCTGTTACAGCAGGATCTCTCTAAAATTAAAGCATGACGACATAATGATAGATTACCACTGCATGAATACAAGCAAATGTGTAATGGGTTTCACTACGAAATTCAATCCAACACATTTTGTCTACACTGATAGGTAATGAAACTGTAGATAGATCCAGCCTTGGAGGGCCTTGGAGTTATTTTTAATACCGAATAAACTTTCGCTTCTCGTATAAACATTATAGTTTCAAATGATTAGATTATACATATCTAGAATTTATTTTTGTAAATGATAGATTATTTGTTAAGTTCTCGGAACGGATGGGTAACTCGGTCAACAATAATTATTGAAAAGTTAAGGGGTTTCAAGTAGGTTTGGCGTCGCCATAAAGCCGTTGAGAAACTGGTACCGGGAGTAATAAACTTGCAAAGCTCGATCATCGCAGCCCTTCAGAGAAGACCTCATGAAATTTAGCAATGATTTTGAACAAGTAGACTTAGATCATCGGGGTCATGTGTTGGGCATCTGGTATCGACTAACTGCGTCGGTTTAGCCCATGGTGAAGGGAAAAAAATCGATGATTCTAATAACGCGCGAAATACATTCGAAAAGACGTAGGAATTCCAAGATATTTAAATAAGTTGTTAGACTGTTGTAAGGAAAATACATTTGCCTTAATCAAAACCAAATTGTTTCGATTTGACTAAATATTATCAAATGGACATGTGTAATTGTGACAGTTCGCATTGTTTTTTATGTGAGCGTCATTTGTTCGCCAATGGGTACTAGATCCTAGACGACCCCCGTAAAAGCTCTTTAGATTAACGTTTAACTTACCTCGATATCCCACAGCTCCGAAAACACCGAGGAAGCCAAACTGGTAATCCTGTTAAAACTTAAATCGATTACTTTGAGCTTCGATAAACCAAAGAATGTTAAATTATTAATGTCACATATATAGTTCTCCGACAGATCCATCTCCAGAACATGACTCATGCTGCTGAATGCTCTGTCTTCTATCTTGGTAATATTGTTGTTGTTCAGTCGCACATAATTTAGCTTTGGTACGTTGGAGAAGGCGACGAGCTTTATTGTTTGTATTCTGTTTTCCTCGAGGTTTATGTCGCGCAACGAGGGCAGATTTGAGATGGAGTAGGCATCCAAGTGTTGGATTTGGTTCCTGGATAATTTCAGGACCTGAATAAAACAAATCAAAATCAATTTTGTGGTTATAAAATATGTTGGGTAGAAAAAGGTATGTTTTAATTAACGTTAACTGGGGCTTCAATATTCATGTCATTTTAACCTTAAGAATCTGCGCTAGTTCTATACACTCGGAATATTGGAATTAATAACTGTATTAGAGGCCTTAAAAGTACCCATTCCAGCAGTTTCTGCTTGGGTAGCGGACTTAATATAAAAATAAATGAGCGCCACATGTTCCGGTATGACAATATTTCTGGGGGGTGGAACACATTGTACAAATTCATAATGTAATGTTTGGTGTTAGATGCTGTTATTAAAACTCCCACGTGTTTTATTTATTTGCACCTACCGTAATTACTTTTCCTTCAGTACAAATAAAACTCTCTAAATAGCAGCCATTAAGCAGATAAAACACCTTTTTATTTTTTGTGGCCTATAAAATAATTTTTTTAAGCATTGTGAATAAAAAAGAGTTATTGTTCCATTTTAAGTTTCTAAGAGACATTAAATTTATTTCTTCTTTCAAATAATTAGTTATGTATTAACAATTTAAAAAAATCTCTTCGCTGTGACAATAATAAAACACATATTAATATTAAAAAAATATATATAAAATGATGTAGCTTCATTAATATTAATTCGAACATTTCTAAAAACTGCTGCACTAGGTTCATTTTTCAACATTCCTAATAATGGAGATGATTCTTTAGTAATATTTTAAAACAAAGCTCCTGTGAACATGTAGTCCTAAACGTCTAGTTTTTGAGTCGTTTGGTGTAAAATTTTGGAAAACAATAGAATTTTGCGGAATTGTGAAATAACTCTCATATATTTGGTACTAACCTCTAAAGACGTTGAGTTGCCAAAGGTAAACTTCTCCAATCTATCCAAGACAGCAAACGATACCGTAAAGTTCTTCAGCAGCAGCATATTCTGAACAAACTCCTGAGGTATGTCCCTTAGATAGCCTTGGTTACTCGCGACTATGTTCAAATCAGATAAGTACGGTTGAGTCTTCACTATTAGTTCCCAAATGAAATGTTCTTTGGTGACTGGTCCAAATATCCAGCATTCCGCTGAAGAAGCACGTAGGAACTTCTCCCTAGTGCACACACATCGAATGTTGTTTAGTTCCGAAGGTTCCAAAGAGCACAAATTCTTTGGTTTGGCAATCTTGTTCTTTGGTTTATTCCTTCCTTTGATGACACTCTCTTTGCTGGATGCCCCGCCAAGACAGAGGATGGCGATAATGATCATCAATTTCATCGTTACTTTCTGAAACAAAATTAATAAAATCAGAAGTAGTCTACAATGTCTTATGAGTATAATGGATATTGTCTGTTATGAATAACTTTTACGGTTTTCATATATATTGATAATGCATTTGGATAAATTTTAACATTCTGTGGATATTGAGAGCTTTTAGCTTAAGAAAATGTTCTTAAATTTATTTGAATGAGAAATACATTCTTGACATTATAAGTATGGATATATTTTACGTAGTTTTTCCCAAAATTATAACGTGTTTTCCTATAGATATAAAAGCTATAAACACATTAAATTCACTCATCGTTGGATTATCGATTCAGGAAGTCAAATATTGTTTCCATTTCAGTACTTTGTAAACAATAAGGCTTAGGTACCATATCTAACTCAAATATTAAAGCTTGTCAAAATTACAAAAGACTTATTTTACATAATACATCATAATCATTTTAAGCTCCTGAAGTACATGACAGGGACGAACATCTTTTAGTTGTTGCTATGTTACAAATTTCTAATTTAGATTTTGGTCCACTTCACTGACTTATATCTGCTTTGGTATAAATTATACATCTATTAATCCTTACGTCACCATACTTATGAGAGAACATTCCATCTAAATACTTGAGAACGTTTTATTTAAAAACATTGCTTTTTATCGTAAGATTTTGTTGTTCTGCGAATTGAATATTTAATTTCAAAAAAAGTTAACTGGAATGGTGTAAAGTCATAACAAAACACGTGATCAACGAGATGGAGCAATTAGTTTTTGGTATAAGTTCATTGCGAAACATTTGTTTCGGGAATACATTGATAGTGAGGCTGATAATTCAATTTATTATAATTCTTCAAACAGTGAATAAATCAAAATAATGTCTAATCGAAGTGTATTTCCAATAAGTCTTTGTTCAGCTTCTATTACGACTAAAACAATTTGTAATAGTTTTTTGAATCGCTGAGTGTTAAGACCAGACTATTATAGTAACTAAAGAACGATTTTTAAGATATTTTTCAAATTTTCAAAAACGAATAAGTACTGTTAACAACCTGATATACATATCTACATTTAATTAACTAATATATTATTCTTTTTACGGTTTTTGTGTTTGTTTTCATTTATTTTTGTTGAATAATTTTGTTTTTCAATTACAACGGATATTTTTTTAAGTAAAAGAATAGATGAATTTAAAAACTAAAAGGAGACTATGCCTACTTTTATGAATTTAACTTTAGAGATTACTTTAGGCAACATTTTATTCTTATTTTGCTTTTGCATGTAACAAACAATGGTAAGTATTAGTTTTGGCAAATTTTCTTTCAATTGCAAAGCTATGCTTAAAAGACCAATTGAACGTTGTTTTATTTAAAAAACACAAGCTTGATTAAAACTAGATGTGTATGTAGATAAAACTGTAATCACTACCACCATTTTTCAAAGTGACAGGACTTTTGTAACACACGGAAATGTTTTTAAAATGAATGTTTTACCCAATTTATTAAATTTTATTTTGATGTTTTGTCTCTATACATATTAAATATTTATAGGATATACTAACAGAAATATCGATTATATTTTAAAATGTATAAAACATTTAAAGTATTGCAAGTGGATTTGTTTCCGTCGAACTAAATATTATTATGGTTTGATATGGACTGTTTTTAATAGTACAAAATTGAATTACGATTTAATTCACATTTTAAAATTTTACTCTAAAAGGCCTTATTAAGCCTCACTTACACGATAATAGTATTCTTATGATAACCAACTTAATGATTTGGCAACTTTCCTGTTTATATATTTTTTGTTAATATTTTTCTCTCTTGAAAACGCTAATAGTGTAAAATGCAAATTCAAGCTGAAATCAAAATAAATATTTATTTGTGTTTAGGTAACAGATTTCATACCGATCGGAACATGTCCAATCTGTTATGACAGCACAAACAAAATATAGATGTACGTTGATCTGGACGCGGTGCAAATAAATTCACAAATATTATTCTGCTGCCATGCCTATTTCATTCTCATTTAGATAGACCATTGTGGCAAAAGTTAAAAAAAAATTACGGTTTTAATTCGAAGAATTTTCTACATAACTTGGCAACCCCGCAGTAATATGTTAAACTGTTTATATTGTTATGGCAATATATAGTGATATATATAGAATTTTCTCAGAAATGCATATGTTTAAAGATATATAGGGTGTTCTATTTAAAAAATATAATATTTGGCGTGTCCCCTTTTTTTACTAATCGCCCTGTATGTTTCAAATTAAGTTTGTGCTTTAGGTTTTTTCATTCTGTACAACTCTTATATAAACTTTTTTCTGTATTATGAATAGCAAGGGAGTTATTTTACTTTCTCACACTAATGGCCCACAGCATTCACTATGTTCTAATCCTTGTATATTATATATAAAACTACGTAATCTATTCGATTCATGTATCAGCAAAAACTACCAATAAACACAAAACACTATACGTTAAGTCAATTTTCCATATTTCTTAAGCACCGTAGCACATCATTAAACTTTTGCGTTCATCGAAAAACTTTATAACATATTAATGGAAAATTTTCTTAATGGCATTTCAAGGTTCGTTGAAAAACCGCCAAATTACAGGTATAAAAGCACATTAAAAAATCCGGAACACGGCGTTTTCTAATTACGCAAATTGTTTATAAAGTGGTATTTGTAATTTATGCATATGCCGTGACTATAACCATTAGAACTTATCCTTAATTATATAGTTTTTATGCACATAAATAACTGTTGAATATGAATGTAGAATAATCTCCCGAATAGGTAGCTGTAGATATTTTACGTAATTATTTACCTTCAAGAACCTTAACAAATTTTTGATAACTCATACGACTAAGTTTATTTTTAATACTGTAGACGAGAGAAACTTGAAAATATATATTTCTGTCCCTACAGATTTTTTAATATTAAAATTTATAGAAATTACCACCAAGCAAACATTTTATAAATCATAAAACAAATCTATTTTCATCAACAATAAATAAATTACAAATATCAATGTTTTCCTTACATTTGTCAGAGAAAATAGTAATAAATAATAAGTGAAACAGCTAAGTCCTATATTGATTTATTCTAAAACCGCAACTAGGGCTGCCTGGTCGTAAACTGCTTACAACTTTTTACTTCCATTCCATTGTAGTTTTACAACAAACCAGAGGATTTGCCTCTAACAGAATCTGTTATCCTTGCTAAGCCGAGGACAGTGCACGAAGTAAATTTTGAACTTTTGGCGAACAGCTTTGACGTTATCATTGTATTAGCATAATTTTCTGGTTTCAAACTAGACAACGATGATACAGTTGGGTGTCGTAAATTATTTTAAATGTATGTATTTAAATTTATACAGCACAACCGAACTTTCCCCCCGACATTAAAACATTTCTTCATAAAACATAATTTTGTCGACTTCAAGTCTTATAAACATATTCATAGTAGTCTGAAAAATGACGGTTACAGACGGGGAAACCCAATAGAAGAATAGAACAATGTAAATGGTAAATATTAACACACACCAACGGCACTCCTTCTCTTGTACATTTGATAAAATTGTAGAATTTTATGTGCCAAATATGTAATTTGGCATAATCTCCCAGTAAATAGAAATTATATTATTAGAACCAATGCTACGAAGGTATTTTATATTTTATTATAGCTTTTAAAATATCTCGATAATTACAGAGACAGATATTTTCTCTTCGAAAAATTGCATATTAAACTACCTACATCATTTTGCCTCAATTTAACCATATCCCTTATTGCTGATAGTTTCCGATGCAGCGACGTTATCGCATCCCGTTTTACAGCTTCTATGGTAGTAAAAGTTGACGATCGATATATCAAATTAAACCTCGTTTCATGGCCTATTCGATGCCAAATTTGTATACTTCGCATTAATTGCAATAAAGAAATAATCCTGCTAGAAACATACATACTCGCAAACCATCATTATTAAAATTAGGTGTTTTTTTTTAAATTTAGCATATTGATATTAGATCATAAACACTCGAAGAAAAAGTAATGATGGACGTTACCCTTATTTCCAGGGTCGGATTTAAAAAAATTAAGTTGATGATGGTCCTGGAGAGACGAAATGTTACATATAAAAATTGATTATGCCATACAATAGAGGGCAAAAAGTTGCCATGATAAAGTGTTCTTTTTTTTCAGTATCACCTCAAACAAGGCTGATGTGAAACAAAAACGGATTTCCAAAATTTCGGTTTTTTCAAATATTTTGAAAACTAATCATGTTAGTTAGCCTTGATTTTTTAGAAGCATAACGTTGGTCCCCTGATTATGCAACTTTGCCCTCATTTAAGCTAGTTCGTATCTCTTACCGTTTCCTACAAAAATGTATATTTTGTTGAATATACATAAATGAAATCAAACAATATTCTTAAATACCAGAATTCTAGGTATGCAAAACATATACAGGGTGATTCAGAACTTATCCAAAAAAAAAATTTTTTGGATGTACAGAGGACTCCTACAAATACAATTTTGTAAAGAAAAAATCAAAAAGGGCAGTTCAAAAATGATTTAAAAATACACTTCTGCACTGGAAACTGGTCCACTGTAAAACCTGACCTCGCACAATGCGACCGGCACGGCGGCAAAGTGTGATAAAAACGGAAAAAACTTTCGCAAGGACGAAATAAATAGAATTTTATAGCACCTATTTTATATCAGCAAATTTAACTGCTTTTGCATGATGTTACAACAACTGCTCCAAATTTTATTCACTGACGTGTAAACACATTTAGGTCCGTCTTACTCAGTTTCTACGAATTAACACAAATGTTGTCTTGCTTCACCATAACACAAATGCTTCACCATAATACGAAATGTCTTGCTCTACCAAAAATTAAAAGGATATCCATCAACTCCAAGTTGCTATACACGCAAGCATTTTTGACACTAACTACTAAAAAACTATTGTAAACACCACATATAGCAGGTAAACAC